TTTCTCACTCTCTACAGGCATCCCATTACTTAATTACATAACTACTCTCTACAGGCAATGAAAATGATCACTATGATATCTGTGTAATTTTCACTTTTGCATAGAAATATCAGAAACTAAGCCCTTTGCTCTTTTCTTTTCTTTACTTCTCTCTGCATATAAAAGTCCTGCTGAGAATTCACATCACTGTATCTGACCAAATGGACTCAAGCCCAGATTTGTCAGTCACCAGCCTTTTCTTTTGTGTCTGCTGAAGCACTGAAGAGAGGCATCAATCCATGCAAAATTCCATGTTACTCCACAAGGTGGAGCCCTCAATTACAACTGAGTCTTTTCCCAAGATAATATCAATCTCTAATTACTTTGAAAATGTGTCCTTTCATATTAAAACATCAAATGCTTTATTAGATGGGTAAATAATGAATTGGGGTTAGTGGATTAATACATTTTAATGTGTGATAGGCAAAGTTACTACACATATTTAATCAGTTGTGAAGAAAATTAAGCCGTAGATATTTTCAAAATTCTTCCTGAATATTCATAAACACTGATACAACTTTGTACCAGAAATCCGAAGGCGTACTGATTCTGTTATAAAAAAAAAAAAGTCCCAGGAGTTTCAGGGTCAGGCCTATTTTTAAATCAAATATCTGAATCTATGTTCATTGCCATTATTACATTCATGGACATTTTTGAACTGCTGCTTGGGGTTCCTTTCCCTCTCTCGTCCCCCTTCCAAAAATGTATTAACAAAACCAATGTTTTGCACTTTCTGTGGTGGCTGTTTAGTTTGCCCATTTTGCCAGCCCAAGTCCTCATCCTGTCAAGGGGAGATAGGAAACCTGCATGGCTTGGCTCTTTAGCCTTTTTGGCGGGCTTGTCCATTTTGCCTTCTTGGTTCCTCTCCTGCCATGGCAGACAGTGGAAATCTGAGTGCACATGTACATTCTCACAGTGTTGCATGGGAACTCTAAAGATAATGTCTTTAGTTCATGCACAAGAGAAGACATTGGATTACCTAGGCATCTCTACCATGGTGAATGCAACTGTTTCCTCCTCCTCCACCACCCCATGGAGTTGCAGCCAACTTATGGTGACCCCATAGGGATTTCAAGGCAAGAGACATTCAGAGGTGGTTTGCCATTGCTTGCCTCTGCATAGTGAGTCTGGACTTCCTTGGTGGTCTCCCATCCAAGTACTAACCAAGGCTGATCTTGCTTACCTTCCAAGATTGCACCAGCCTGGGCTGTCCAGGTCAGGGCTGGACAAAAAATAGCAGTACTCCAGATGTAGCTCATGTTCAAACAATGTATGACCTGACCATGGCCCTTGGGCATAGGTGACTCTGCCAGTGATCCATTAAGTTCTGGGCATGTGCCAACACTGGCTACCAGACAGCAAAATAAAAAAAGTCTACTGCCACCCATGAAGACTAATATATCTGAAGAAGAGAGTGTGACTCATGAAAGCTCATACAGAATAGCAGTACTCCAGATGTAGCTCATGTTCAAACAATGTATGACCTGACCATGGCCCTTGGGCATAGGTGACTTTGCCAGTGATCCATTAGTTCTGGGCATGTGCTAACACTGGCTACCACAGCGAAATAAAAAAGTCTACTGCCGCCCATGAAGACTAATATATCTGAAGAAGTGAGTGTGACTCATGAAAGCTCATACAGAAATGTTGTTAGTTTTTAAAGTGCCCTTAGACTTCTATTTATGTTGCTGTGCTAGACTAACATGGCTACCCCTTTACAATTACGAGGCAGCCACCCAGTGTAAAGCCAATTGCCATCAACCACATTGATGTAAGGCCAACACATATCCTGAAAATGCTGCCCATTTTAAATGGTGAATGTGAAAGCAAAGTAATTATATGTGTCTCTCATGGGAAACAGGCACTAAGAATAGGGCAAATTCAATTTCTGAATGTACTATTTGCAAAAATATTTTGCAGCCATACACGCCATTCAGACTGCCTGTGGTCAAAAAAGATGCTGATAGAATAAGAACCAGGTTGCAATATTAAGCACATTTATTTGGAGTTAAATGCTCTCAACTAGCACTAGCACAGAGTGCTTTAGAGTAGCAGTAATATTCGAGACCCGGGTGCCGCATGATGGAGTGAGCTCCCGTCTCTAGTTCCAGCTCCTGCCAACCTAGCAGTTCGAAAGCAAGAAATTGCAAGTAGATAAATAGGTACCACTTCGGTGGGAAGGTAACAGCGTTCCGTGCACCTTGGTGTTCAGTCATGCCGGCCACATGACCACGGAAACGTCTTCGGACAGCGCTGGCTCTTCGGCTTTGAAACGGAGATGAGCATCGCAACCCTAGAGTCGGACTCGACTGGCTTTCAAGCAAGGGAACCTTTACCTTTATTTTAATATAGGGGCAGACTAAAGAGGGCACAGAGAAACCATTCACCATCTAGAGAGAAGGCAGAATCTCTTTCATGGGAAAATAAGAATGAAACTTCATCAGAATGCAGTGTTTCTTTCAGAGATGCTTTCAACAGTTAGAGGATACTTGGTCTTAAAGTAAGGGCTTATAAGAATGCTGGAGAACTTGAAGCAGAAGCATGTCCAAAACCCATCAAGGTTCTTATGTACATCAACGGACCTAAGAGAGGTCCCTTGCCTTATCCCTGCCTACTTCCATGCTTTTTCACCCTTTCCAAGTCACTTCAATCTAGACACTCACCCATCATTCTGTGGGAAAGAGGAGGAGACAACAAGCTGGATTTCTACCCCACCCTTCACTCGCAGTCTCAGAGTGGTTTACAATCTCCTTCCCTTCCTCTCCCCACAACAGACACCCTTTGAGGTAGGTGGGGCTGAGAGAGCTCTGAGAGAGCTGTGTCTGACCTAAGGTCACCCAGCTGGCTTCATGTGGAGGAGAGGGAGAATCAAACCCAGTTCTCCAGATTAGAGTCCACCGCTCTTAACCACTACACCAAACTGACTGGTTTCCCACAAGAGACAATGACACATATAATCCATCCCATTCATCCCAAAGATCCAAGAACTAAGGATGCCAGAATAAGCCAAAGCAGAGCGTGAACCCAAGGCACAAGTGGAACCTACACCTGCCTCTCTGGATCGCTACAGGCTCCAGCTTCTCCTCTAAGGCTGAAATCCAGTGTGTGCTTATTTGGAAAGAAGAGGGGACTGAGGGCAATGGGCCCTGACCTCAATAGCCCAAGCTAGCCTGATCTTGTCAGATCAGGGTTGGCCCTGATCAGCACTTGGGTGGGAGACCAGTCCAATGTTCCCTCTAAGCTGTGGAGTCTTGTGAGCAAAAATTCTACTTTGTGAGCTACTGGCATTAAAGTTGTGAGTGAGCACTTTGGCTACTGCATAAGTTAGTTTGCTCTGGAGACATCCTTCCTGAGCCAGGGCAAAAATGTGTGAGCCGGAGGCTTAAAAACTGTGAGCTAGCTCACACTAACTCAGCTTGGAGGGAACACTGGAGACCACCACCATGGAAATCCACAGTTGCTATGCAGAGGAAGCCAATGGCAAACCACCTCTGAACATCTCCTGCCTTGAAAACCCTGTGGGGTTGGCTGTGACTTGATGGCAAAAAAAAAAAAAGGCATTGGGGCTTACTTCCATGTCTGGGAAGCAGATCTCATTGAACTTACTGGACTTGCTGAGGGTCTTAACACTAAATTGGAGAAAAAGTGTCACCTGCTATGATCGACACCTTGGCATTAATCCATACTTTTGTTCACAATTCCAGTTTAGAAGGGGGGTATATGTGGGTGTAACAGCGTTCCATGTGCCTTGGTGTTTAGTCATGTTGGCCACATGACCACGGAAACGTCTTCGGACGGCACTGGCTCTTCGGCTTTGAAACGGAGATGAGCACCACAACCCTAAAATCGGACTCGACTGGCTTTCGAGCAAGGGAACCTTTACCTTTTATATTTGGGTGAATTCTAGCTTACCCATCTTTAGACTATCACTGACAAATTTCAAATAGTTTCTACTTAGTAATCATATACTTACCTAAAGTCAGGAGTATTTTTGCCCTATTAAACTAGAAAACAATGGAATTTAAATCATGATACATAAGATTAAGTCATGGACTGGGCAGTGGAAGCAGAGAACGAAATTAAGTGTTGTTTTTGAGTGAAGTTGCCTTCCCAGTAACGATACAGTGCTCAGTGGCTGCCCCGCTGATCGCAAGCCAAAGTGGATTCATAAAGTACTGGTGTAAACGTGTGTTCTTTTTTACGTATGGAGACTTATTACTAGGGTCGCTGAATCGCACCAAACTCGTCTTCCCACCTACGGCGTAAAAGCCCTGAAGCAAAACTCTGTATTTGTTTTGTTACTAGAAACCTCGCCCAACACCACAACGCCAATCTTTACGCTGACCTCATTCAAACGGACATCCCTTTGAAATCTTCCCCTCTCTCCCACCTTTTATTCTAAACGCGCCGAATCCTTTGTGCTCCCCAAACCGAGTGGGCGGAGGGAGGCGCAGTCAGAGGCAGCCGACCGCCCAGCCCAGAGATGCCTCCGATCGCCGCTCGGAACGAGGGGCTGCGCTAAGAAAAGGCAGCTCCAGCGCTGCGGGGGGACGGAAGGCGCCCCCGCGCCTTGCCAGGCCCCCCAAAGGGCGCCAGCTCCCGGCAGCGGCCTCCCCCTCCGCCTTGCCATCGCCGCTTTAAGCCGAAGCCCACGCTGGGCGGTGGGCTGGGTCCCCGCGCCCCCCCCCTTTCCCCACGTGGTCTCGGTGCCTGTGAATTTCAATCGCTGGAGGGTCTCGGTGCAGACGCCGGTCCCGCAGCCGAGACCAGGGCGTCCATCCGGAGAACGGCTCTCCGGGTCCTTTCCGTTGGGGGCAGCTTGCTCGCGGCGCCCGCCCCGGCCAGCCGCAGCCACCATGAGCGAGAGCGGTCCCGATCGGGAGAGCCGCGGGGCTGCACGGCCGCCGGTCCCGGAGCAGCGGAGGGAGACAGCGGCAGCCTAAGCCCGCCAGCAGCAGGAGGAGGAGAATGCGACGCGCGGGTCTGGCCGGGCTGGGCTCCGTGGCCGTGCTCTGGCTGCTGGCTTTGGCTTCCCTGCTGGGGCTGTGGAGCCAGCGGCTCGCGGCGCCGGGAGTCCCCGGACCGGGCTTCCCGCGGGAGGCAGCCGGCTCGAGACTTGGAAACCTGAGGCGGGCGGCTGTAGCGCCGGGGGAGTCCCGTCGGCGCCTCGGTCTGGCCAGTCAAGCCGCCCAGAAAACTTTCCGAGCGCTGCTCACGCTGCCGGGACAGCCCCCGGAGCCCCCGGACGCGGCGAGCGAGAGCGGGCAGGAGCCGCCCCCGGCTCTTCCTCGGCGGCAGAGGCCAGCGGCGGAGCTTCCCGCCTCGCCGGTGCGCGGGGGGATCTTCTGGAGCCGGGCGCTGGAGGCTCAGGTGCCGCCGGGCTTCTCGGCGGAGGAGACGGCCTCGTGGCTGCGGGCGGCCCGGGCGGCGCGCGTCGTGTCCCTGGAGCGGGGCGGCTGCGGGCGCAGCTCCAACCGGCTGGCCCGGCTGTCGGACGGGAGCCGCGCCTGCGTGCGCTACGGCATCAACCCGGAGCAGATCCAGGGCGAGGCGCTCTCCTACCACCTGGCCGAGCTGCTGGGCATCCAGGAGCGCCTCCCGCCGCTGGCCCTCTCGCGGGTGGAGGCGCGCGGCGGGCAGTGGGCGCCAGTGCGCGAGGAGCTGCGCGGCTCCCATTGGGCCGAGGGCGCCGTGGTCAGCCTCGCGCGGTGGGTGGACAACCTGACCGACGTGGTGGCCCCCGCCCTTTGGCGCGCCGAGGCCGGCCGGCGCCTGCAGACCCTGGCGGCGGGGGAGCTGCGCGGCCTGGGGCCGGCGCAGCTGGTGGAGCTGGTGCAGTGGAGCGACCTGATCCTCTTCGACTACCTGACGGCCAACTTCGACCGGCTGGTCAGCAACCTCTTCAGCCTGCAGTGGGACCCCCGCGTCATGCACCGCGCCACCAGCAACCTCCTCCGCGCCCCCAACGGCGGGCTGGTCTTCCTCGACAACGAGGCCGGCCTGGTGCACGGCTACCGGCTCCTGGCCATGTGGGACCAGTACAACGAGCCCTTGCTGCGCTCCGTCTGCCTCTTCCGCGAGGCCACCGCCCAGCGGGTGCGGGAGCTCCACCGCCTGCGCAACGCGGCCGCCGAGCTTCGCCGCCTCTACCGGACTCGGGAGCCCCTGGCCGAAACGCTGGGCTTCCTCTCCGACCAGCAAGCCCAGCTCCTGCAGGACCGCGTGGACTTGGTCCACAAGCACATTTTGCACTGCAAAGCCAAGGCCGCCTCGCTGTGATTGGCCCGTCTCGGCCGGAAGAGTGTCCTTGCCAGGGGGCCCGAGGTCTGGGCCTTTCACCCCTTCGAGGTCTCCTGCGAGATTGCCAGTCCTGGAAGGGACTTGGGCTGCAACCTGGATGGGAGGTGGTTGCCCCGCACCTGTAAATCCAGAGTATTGCTGAAATTTCAAGCAGGAATATATGCCAAGGCCAACGAAGAATGGAGTTAATGATAACAGAAGCTTTGGGGGAAAGAGAGAAGGGGGCCGGTATTGTGCAGAGTTCCTTGGGGATCCATCAGCAGAATGTGCTTCTTCTTTGATACTTCCTGTGTTATATGGTCCAGTCCCTGAACTTCCAGTGAAACCTCACACTGCATTGTCTTCAAGACCACTGCTGCCAGCTTCAGACTTGATCCACAAATGAGAGCTGAGTAGGTTCATATATTTAGGAAGGATGCACTAAAATACACATTTGTGCTTCTTTTTTGAGGCATGAGATTTAATGTTAGCCCCTTGATACCCCTGTTCTGCACTATTGTCTGTTGTAAGACTAATAATATTTCCTCTACACAGTCCTCCCCTAAAACAATTTCTTAATGTTTAACAGTGCTTTGAGGGACCCAGTGAATGGTCAGGAAGTACTTGATGTTGGAGTATTGCTGACCAAAATAGTATAAACCTGATCAGCTCCTTTAATGGGAAACCAGTAGGAGCCCTTATCTTCAAGCAAGGTCTAATATTTGTTTAAGTATACAGGTCTCACTGTTTTGGTTTTCACAGGCTTCACTTTCCAGAATGGGTGTTTTTCTACTGAATCTTAAGGACTCTCCTTAAGAATTCACTTTGGTAAAAGACTCTTTGTAAACTGTACTGACCATATTTGGAAAGGGACCATCTATGTTTTCCCTCCCAGTGGGAATCAGTGTATTCCAGTAGGGAATACTTGCTCCCTGCCTTGCTTTTCTCCTTTATTTTTTTTTTAAAAATTAACATAACTTTTAAAACTGAATAGTATTCATAATCCAATAACTGATGCCACACTTACTCAGACTTTGGATTAGGGAGAATGCCCCACCCATAGTCCTTTTTTTTCATGTGGGTCTCTCCAATGCAAATGGATGTACATAATATCAAAGTTAATAAGTGTGTAGGAAATGCCACTGTTCCAGTAGCTCTTAACCTTTGCTGTGAGAGGCATTTGTCAATATTCCTTCATTCCTCACCATGTCTGTTTTATATGTAACCACTGCTGTACAGTAAAATAATTGACTAATGAAGAAACGATTCCCAGGTTTATAGTATTTGTCAGTGTAGTAAATTTTTGATGCGTTAAATCACACGGGAGGAGGAAAAAAATCAGTTTCATGCACTTTACTTTGACTGTTCTTATTTTTTTATAAAATGGCCTTTTGTTTTTTAAAAAATCGGCATTTTAGGTACTTGGTGTACGTTTTTAAGCTCTTCTGTAACATACTAAAGAAATTGATAATTCAGTAAAAATGTGTTAATGTTTTGCCTTTTGTGCTTAAAGTTCTGGTGTTCGCTGTAATGTTTACTTTTGCACATTTCCTTTCACATGAACGGATGTTGATTATTTGGGCTGAATAGAGGGATTCATATGTGGACAAGGGAAGAAAAGTGTCTGGTCTTCAAAGTTAATTTTTGTCTCTTGTTGCTGTAGCTTATCCCAAACCACATGTGCATCAAGTAGCATACAAAACTTTTGTTACTCCTGGTAAGTGTCCCAATTGCCTTGGTTCAAGTTTCAACACAGACCAGCCCTTCTGGTTGTTCCTCACCCTGAGGAAGAACTGGTTCCATTGGCATCAATGCCAAGAGCATATCGAAGAGTATATACTGTGCTTAGCCGCTATTAATGCTTTCCATTTTGGTTTATGGGAATACTGTATTACAAACGGGAAAGCCTTAATTATTCTTCATGTTTTACAGAGCAATCCTATGCAGAGTTACTACAGAAATCAGAGGACAGACTAGAGCAACTCTGCTTAACATTGCACTGAAAGTCATGTAGAGCTTTATTTTACATTGTTTCTGCAGTAATTCTCATGGGAATGGCTACAAAACCAGGAAGCAAATACATATAATAATTTTCATTGATGTTCAGTAGCTGAATCCAGCAAGGAAGTTAAATGCACAAAAACAGCTTTCTACAGGAAAAGCCGAAACACATCTGTGGCTGGGCATTCTCATCACAATGCTCACCCAAGCCCCCAGGAGCTGGCTGCATGTGTCTTTTAGTGCACATGAAGACGTACATCCCCATGCAGTGCCACCAGAGCTTGATCAGAGCTGGATTGGGACCCAGATGTTTTGTTGGTTTGGAGCTATTTCTCAAGGGCTTTGCCTTTCTGTAAAAGGTCAGTGTTAAACACACAGGGCCCTTTTTCGTACACAGAGACAGTGGAGGTATGAAATAAAACAGCTTAATCCCCTAAACTGTACGTGTTTATCAGATAGGAATGTAATCTTTGTTACGTCTGGGGAAGGCATTCTTTTGTAGACTGGAGACTAGCGTGCATTCTGTAGATCCCAGATAAACCCAGCTGATGTTGCGCTGAGCATGAGAATACCCTGAGCATGTGGTGAGCCCCCATTGCCAACAGATTGTGCCCTGGTTTGAATCATCTTGATTGTAATTACTTCTGAGACCGAGAGCACAATAGGTTTTTTTAACAAACATTAGGAACTGGCCTCTTAGAATGCACAAGGCTGTTAACTTAGTATTGTTCTCCACCCTTATAACTGTCCTAGAAGGCTCTTTCACTCCACTGCTTTAACTGACAAGACTCTTTATTTAACTCTTATTTATAGCTCACAGCTTTTTATCACTCAGCACAATGCATAGAGTCCCATGTGGCATTCCGTTGCCATTTACATGATAATATACAATTTAACTGTGTAATTCTTTTTAGCGCTGTTTGTCAGCATGAGTTTTGTAACTGCTCGGATGCAGCATTTCAAGTGTGTTCGCCTAATGAAAATACATTTAAATAATATAGCACTGACATAAATTTTAAACCACCCATAAGAGCAAATGGCTGTGTTGCAGACAGTGGAAGGTTTCCCCCTTTTGCTTAAGCGTTTCTGGAAGTATCAACACAATTGCGGTTTCGACTGCTTAATGGGTGATATATCTTCTCTGCAGCAGTGCCAGAGCCAAGCCCTAGATAATTGCACCTTTCAAAAAGAAGCATGGGCTTCCTCTCTGATGATTGGTGACTGTTTCAAATTATAGGTAGGCGGCCTGATCAGAAATGAGAGAATAGTTTTCAGCAGATGATGCTTAAGGTGGTGGTGGAGGGGGGGAGCTGCAAGTGAGTGGGAAAATTGCTTCATGGGGGAGGTGGAGAATGAGCTTGATTGGATTATGAGAGATGCAGAATATATGAATAGATTTTGTGAGTACAATGAGCATCTCTGAACCTCTCTGCTGAGGGTCTTGTTCTTCCCACCCACTTCTTTCATTTGCTGTTTCCTCCTCTGCTTATAGCCATTCTGCTCTTGTCCACACCTATCTTGAGGTCACTGGCTGATGCAGTGTTTCTAACGAGCCTTTGTTACTCTTGCAACAGAGACCTTGTTCTCATGGAGGTGGTGAACCTGTGTCTGGGCTGCATCATTTCAGACTGCAGGCAAGGGCCCATGTGATAGAATATTCCCTCCCCAAAACAACACTTCTACACATAGAAAAGGTGACAGAAGCATCTGTTCTAACCTTCTGCTTGATACACTAGTTTTCTATGTGTAGGAATCTTCATTCCATGGTAGGGATTCCATCAGGGGAGTCTCTGCCTGCAATGTAAAGGGATGAAGCTCAGGTGTGGTTTTACCACCTCTATAAAACTGGGCCTGAGTTAGCTGCCTTCTTTTGCCAACCTAGCAGTTTGAAAGAAAGAAATTGCAAGTAGATAAATAGGTACCGCTTTGGTGGGAAGGTAACAGTGTTCCGTGTACCTCAGCGTTTAGTCATGCCGGCCACATGACCACGGAGAAGTCTGTGGACAGCTCTGGCTCTTCGGCTTGGAAACGGAGATGAGCACTGCCCCCTAGAGTCTGATTCAACTAGCTTTTGAGCAAGGGAAACCTTTACCTAGCTGCCTACAACTAGCTTAACTTCTCTGATGTTACATCCTCAACTGCTCTGATGTCATGTGGCCTTCTAGTCATTGTTTAGGAGAAAAGGGAGGAAGACTGGATCCTGATTCTGAGATCACAGAGCAACCCATAACATTAAGCCTTTTGAATGACATGTTATATCTGACTGGCAGATATAACAGTATCCTTTAAAGGACATACTGACCAACCGAGCAACCCATAACATTAAGCCTAACACAGTTGGCTTTTGAATGATATGTTGTATCTGCCAATCAGTGGAATGGCTTCAGTATCCTTTAAAGGACATACTGACCAACAAGAAAAGTAGAATCATTCATATTTTTTTAACTGTTAGTGTAGCTGGTCCAATAAGATGTATTACTGTGTATTCTCTGTTAAGCTTTGAGTTTAATTAGACTACAATATTTAGAAATGGAAATACCTTGACTTCTGGTAAAGTATTTGGTCGCACTTAAATAATCACTGGGTTCACTTTGCTCCTGGAAGTTCAGGTGCTAGATACTTGTTGGTCCCTGCCTAGTTTCCCAGAAGGAACTAGCAGTAGGAATCCAGTGCAGAGAGTAGGAAAGGGTCAGTTTGTTCAATCAGCTGATAACAGAAATTGATGGGGACAAATATTGTTAGTCTTTTCATTATCTCCTGCTTTTGGAGGATGTGGGGTAGCTTTCCAGTCTTAGATAAGGAGAAAAGGGAAACCTACTGTTATTTATTGCAGCCCTGCACAGAAACAAAATAGCTTAGTTAGTCTTCTAGTAAACATGCATATCCTAAATATCTCATAATGTGTGAGCAATATTATTTAGATTGTGTTACAACATTTAACAATCTTGCTTTGCAATCATAGGGAAAATACCAAGAAATTCTCTGCTTATTATTGTTGCTAGTGGCAGGCATCCTGTGTCTCTGGGAGATAAAGCTGTGAATTACTACCAAGTTAAAGAACACTCCCTTGCCTGTTTCCTTAGAACA